TGTAAAAACTAAAATATATTTTTTATTGTTACTACTGACTAATGGACCAAGAAAGTCGGCTGTTAGCCTATCAAGGGGTTTGAAACAAAGTAGTGGAATAGGTTGAAGTTCTCCTGCGGGTTTCCCTGGACCTTTTTTATTTATTTGACATTCGTGACAAGTTTTTATTAAATGAATAACATCTTTAATAAGATCTGGCCAATAATATTTAATTTGTATTTTCTTAATTGTTTTTGTAATTCCCATATGTGCTGACATAGGTGGACAATGATGTGCTGAAATGACATCTTGCACAATTGATTTAGGTATTACTATTAGATTATCTATATTCTGTTTTGGCATGTATTGTTGTAGGTAAAGTATATCATTTATAATTACAAACCTTCTAGACATCTTAGTTTTTTTGTTGGATATCTTTTGCCCATTTAATGTTTTTATTATTTGTTGGCAAAATAAATCTTCTTTTTGACTTGAACGATGTATTTTTAAAAAGTAATAAAATAATAGTCGGTCAGAAAAGTATTTAAAATTGATAATTATTTATGTGTAAAGATTATTCCAGAAGTTTCTCGAATAATCTCGAAACTTCTATTTTGATTCATTACAATATAGTTAAGTATTATAGATATTATATAATAGCCAAGTACCTAACATTGAATAAAAACTTTTTTAATTTATTGCTTCACATAGACATTAAATTGTATTTAGGTATTCAAAGAATTAATTTATTTAAACATTAAAAAATATGTGTTCAATAATTTTTTTTTTTTTTTGGTATTAATAATTATTTTCAGCTGAACTTATACATTTTAAAGTAATTATTTAGTAGAATTTGATGCTTGAAATACGTTTTTTTAACAGTATTAGTAAATTTTTAATGGCATTACTGTAAGTTTTTAGTTAAACATTTCCCTAGTCATACTTATAGTTAATATGGAAGCAATTTAATTTTTAAAGATATTTGCAATCGCCCTCCCTATAAGATATAAAGGATGGACATAAAAAGTATTTTAAATATATAAATGGAAATACATGTTTTTTTTTTTTAAAAAAAGTATATAAATAGAAACTGTATACATTAATTTTCATTAAACCCATTATAAAATGTACTACAAAATATTGATTTTTTATAATTGTTAATTTATCGGCACAAATGAGAATGATTAGATGGATAAGAGAAGTAACTAGAAAAGATAGAATAAGGAACGAGCATATAAGAGGAGGTATAGGTGTAGCGTCAATCGTGGATAAGATGAGAGAAAATAGACTTAGATGGTCATGTTATGAGGAGAGAAGAATCGGAAGCTGTAAGAACAGTTATAGAAATGAATGTTGAAGGAAAAATTGGTAGAGGAAGACCAAAAAAGAGGTGGAGAGATGCTATTGAATGCGTTTTGAGGACAGATGATGTGAGCGTAAATGATGTGGGAGATCGTGTCAAGTAGTTGGGATTAAGGCGAGGAAGAAGAAGAAGATATAATATATAAGTAAAAGAACTACTACTCTGGATATAATTAAGAAAATAGAAGTTGATATTGCTTTTGTAATTATCCACCAATTTCTTAGAATTAAACACTATTTACAGATTTGCATCAAAGCGTTTTTTTTTATAGTAATTTTAATCACTGTCAGATTAAGTCTATACTAGACCCAACTATGGCACGTCCCCACTGTGATGGGTTTTTTTTATATTTTTATCGTAATAATTCATATAAATAAAAGTCTTAGTAATAATTTCTATGTAACTATTGGTGTTTATATAGATGCTATTAATTGAAATATTTAAAAATATTACGTGCCAAGTTTCAAATGGAAGTTTTAGGATAAGGGTGGCCGACCCCAAGTAGTTGAAATAAGGCGAGGAAAAAGAAAAAGAAGAAGAAGAAGATTAGTTTATCGGATCAAAAATGTATATATTTTTTATGTATATTTGTTTTCATAGTAAAAGGGATATATTTTTTCTTCATCTATTAAATATAAAATATTGAGTAATAGTGTTATTAGGATTTAAAAGTTAACAATTTTTGATGAATTAAAAATTTTGTTGGTAAATACAAATTGTATAAGTAATACATTTGATCATTTGAAAAAAATTTTCTCAATCCAAGTAATTGGGGAAAATTCCTAAAATATTAAAATTATCATATTTTAATCTGTTTTTTACTTAAAAATTTACTTTAATTGCCATAATTTTTCAAAAATAAATTTTATTTAATATTTTTATAGATTTATGGATTTTAAAATATGTTACATTTTCATTTTATTAATAAGTTTAAAATAATTAAACATTGAAGGGAATAGGTATAACTAAATTGAGCAAAATAATTATTAATTAAAATTCAACAATGAAACGAACAAAATGAAAAATATATCAAGTAAAATTAAATTATGTAAAAAGGAGTTGTAAAATATAACTTCGTATCCTTAAATAATGCTTCAATTTTAGAACAGATAAATGATGAAATGTCTGTGTTAGGTCTATACTTGATTATCTTATTGTATTCACGTCTTAAATTTATATTATTATTTCTGGTGTAAGTACATATATTTTTCGTACATGAATATGTAGATCTACGAATTTGTTTAATCTGAGTCATAAACTTAGAAATGTTGATATGTTCATCAATAATTAGTGCCGTTTTATATTGCGTTAATAACACATTTAGAATACATTCTGACATTTGTTGCGAATAAAATTCATCTTTAAATAGCATGTTCAAAGACCGAACAACGTTTATCATATCGGCTAACATATTTTTGAAACTTTTAATTTTCTCTGTGATTAAATTTTTAGTATCAAAGAGGCTGAAATCAATATTTTCTATATCTTCATTGTTTATAATATGATCTAAATTATTGAAATATTCAATAGTATCGGTATTACACGATTCATACTTGGCATTAGAAATATCGGTGTTGTTATCTACTTCTAAATCATCTGAATAGTCGAGTGTTTGGTCATCATTTCTAAAACTCAGATCACCCATTTTATTTTTAAATTCACTCCCCAAATGTAAAACAAGAACAACGAATTTTCTTATTATATCAAAGTACTTACACTGAACCATAAGATGAACGATAGATAATTTTATTTTGAAGTTGCTTTCGTTCACAGCAAGATATTTTGATGATAAAAGTTCTTTTGATATTTTTTTTCCTTCCAAATCAAATTTTTTATATTCAATATTGTTAAACAAATTATGGATGTCAAAATTTATTTTGTCCATTTGAACTGTAATGTTTAAAAAATAACTCCACGTTTTTTCTTCCGCCAATATTTTATTGAGACAATATATTTGATTTTCAGTAACAGTTGATAATTTATCAACTTTACAAAATTCATTTTGTGAAGGTAAATACAAAAAAAGTGTAATTAGTATCTCAAGAAAATGATTATAATACATTTTAAATAATCAAAACGATACGTAGAATAAAATATATATTACTAATTTTTAATGTATCTATTAATGTGTTGGTATAATTATGTAACTTTACTTACGTTTAATACAGAAAACTTAAATGTTCATCTACCTATTTATAATTAATAATTATTAATATAATAATTTAATATGAACAAATATAAACTCAAGTATATACTTTAAAAAACAAGTAAATATTATATTACCACCATAATATATTTTATATTTAAATTATTAGAATATTTGTAACAAATTACATTATAGTAATTATATAGTGATGTCACAAAGTATTTCGATGTCAAGAGTTATGGTTTTATTAACACGCTTATATTAGTTTCACGTGTATGTTGTTTGTTGGGTGTTGTGTGTTGTTTGTAACTTTCTATGCGCACGTGTCTACGGCCTTGAGACTAGATGGTCGTAACGCATTCACCCCACCCCACGCCATGCTCACTACACGACGGCACTACTATTCCTGTATAATTTTTTTATGACGATATTAGCAAGTATATAGCCTTTATTATCAGTAATAGTAAGACACAGTTGTGAATTTATAAATACACTAACTGCCAATACAGAAATTATATCTATTGATAGTCATAATTGACAATAAACACTCCGTGACTGTGATAGCGATGTCATAGAAAACTAAAAAGAAAAAATAAATATAGTTTAAAAAACATAAAAGACACGCTTTTAAAGTACATCGAACTTATTTTTAAAATAAGCTTAAAACAATAATACATGAAAAATAATAGTATTATTGTGAAAAAAGCGTGGGTGCTTTATGCCATATTTTTCGTGTATTATTGGTTTAAGCTTATTTTAAAAATTATTTTTAACTTTTTAGTTTGATGTACATTAAAAGCGTATTTTTTTGTTTTTTAAACTATATTTATTTTTATTTTTCCGATATCAAATTTATCATATACAATATTGTTTAATAAACTGTAGTTTTTTCTTTTTCATTTTAATTATATTGTCGTGAAACGATCCCAAGTGTTTTTATTTTAATATTTTGGTTAAAAAATACTTGATCATTATTACTAGTTAATAAAATAGTTTATTTACAAATAATCATTAAGGTATTAAAATTTTATTTAATAAAATATATAAATTATTATATATTACATATTGGACAACAATAAAAATGGCACCTTTTTTTTTACTTTTCAATAATCAAATTATTATATCTTTATAATTTGCTACTTATTACACAAAATTAGATAATAACATTTCTAAAAATAGTAGTATTGTAAAAATTAAGCAAAGTGTAGATAATGTATTTTTAAGGATAGTATTTTTTGATATCTGACAGTTATTAAAATTACTATCGTAAAATGCTTCGTTAAGTATTTGAAAAAGTTTTAGAAAAAATTGACATTTTCACTAAAATTTAAATTAGTATTATTATTGAATAGACTATTCATAGAAAACAAGTGGTCAGGACGTCTTTTTTTTTCATCATATAATACATTAAATAAGCTATAATTTTATTTAATTTTGAACGATGTAAATATTCCGTCGTTATACAAAATATTCTAAAATCTGAAAATTTTATTGTAAACTGTATCATTTTTTATTTAATGTAAGATAACTCCTACAAATAGAGATTTTGGATATTTTTCCTTTTGTCATTTTATTATAAATTAAATTAGTTTTAAGTTGATGTAGGTTTTTTAAATCATTATGAAAAATTGAAAAAAAAATTTAATATTATTTTAAGTTCCCACAGTAGCTTGGTAAATAACTAAATTTTATACGAATAAAAAATAAAATGCAGTACCGCAGGTTAAGTTTCGCAGACCTGTCATATTGCACTTTATCTTAACCTGTTACAATGAAGTTGTCAATCCCATGTCTACAATTATACTACAAACCAATTTATTTATATAATAATCTTTTTTGAATAAAACATTATCATTGTGATCAATTTACTATTAATTTTTATTTTTATGTAATTACTTATCGTTTATAACTTTCTATTTATTATATTTTTTTCATACAAATTACTTTTTATTTGATTAAGTTTAATTTAGATAGCTCTATTAAACTATCTCATATCAATAATTTATCTTTCAATCTACGACAAATTATCATTTAATCAGGTAATAATCCTATTCCATCAATGGATGTATTGCTATAGTTTAGTAAACAAAAATCAATATTACACTTCAGCTCTTCTGATTTTTTAAAGATTATTTACATGTAGCTGATATTTTTCTTAGTCTGTTCATTACTTTTAGGATAGTGTGATGTGATGGTTGCTTATTTAATGTTTATAAGCATTTGAATGGAATATTATATCAATGTCCGAGATTATTTTTGTCTGGACATCCATTAGTAGAAAAATTATTTGTTAAGATTTTTATTACTTATGAAGACTTACCTTTAATTTTTCTTGGTTCGAATCATTTTAAAGAATATTCTGTTAAAGCTAAATATGACATTGATTTACAATCTAAAATATCTATAAAATGGTCTACCTGGAATATTATAAGTTAATATTTAAGTTAGTATTTTAATTTTTAATTACATGATCACATAATTATTCCTCGTGAAAGGAAATAAAATACTTTCACGGCCCTTCTGCCAATCGTAAGAGGCGACTAATGAGGTTGCTTCAAGTCGACACCAGGTGTAAAATTTTGTCAAAAAGTATTAGAAGGCCTGAATTAAACTTAGGTGGATTATTCCATCTCGGATGTATGCAGGAACAATATGTAAGAGGAAAATAACTAGTTGGAAACGAAAAAGTTCTAAAGAATAATATGTTTGATACTAGTCGGACAGTTCGGTGGCTGTTTCATCAGTTATGTGTACAGACCTATCCAATGGTTATAGTGTCGGTATAGACGGTATAGAGATATCATCATTTAACTCTAGGCTGAACTTATGTATAGGTGAAAAATATAGATACAACGTAAGAATAGATACTTGAAATGTTGACACATTAACTGGAAGAAGTACTGAATAGGAAAAAAGTTAACATTTGTTGTTTGCAGGAAACTAAGTGGAAGGGAGAGAACCAAGGAAAATAGGTGAGAGTATAAAATAATATACTCAGGTAAGTCTAATACAAAGAATGGTGTAGGGATAATAATGGATGAGGTGATGAAAAGTAAAGTAATAGAATCAGCTAGGAAAATTAACAGAATTATAGTCGTAAAATTAATTTTCGAGGAAAAAATGTTGAATATAATAAGTGCCTATACACAACAAGTAGGATGTTATGAATACACTCTCCAAAATTGTTTTGAGAGAGATGGATGAGATGATTCAAGGAGTACCTGGCAATGAGGATGCGTTGATAGCTGGAGATTTGAATGGACGTGTGGATAATGAGAGGTGAGTATATGAAAGAGGAAATAGAGGGTGCGGTTCAAATGTAACGTGTTGGAAAATAATCCTGGATTTCACAGTTTTGTATTCTTTTGCTATGGTTAATACTTTTTTTAGACAGTAGGAAGAATATTACATAATTTATAAAACACAATAGACCATAGATCAATTATTTAATTTAAAAATGAGAGAAACTTTAAACACGGAAAAAGAGATGCGGTGGGAATGTCTAGGGAAATATCTAATTTGATAGTTTTGTAAATAATAGTACTGTTGTGCTTTTAAAATTGATAAAATTTGAAACTTTATAAAAAGACGAAAGCACTTACTTTTCAATAATAAATTTAGAATATAATTTAGAATTATGTGACTGACAAATAAATAATACAATACAACATTTGTTTGGTACAGAATGCCTTTACCAAAGATCTAGTAAACCAGTTGTTACAAACATCGTTGACTGTATTATATCCTGTGACAGCTGATATCCAGCGTCTTGCCTCACTCACACATTTGCCCACCCAGCACAGCAAATTGATGACCTCAGTGTCAAATGTCATCCGTGTACAGTTCATTGTCGTAAGTTAGTCAGTCAATTGTTTTATGTGTCATTCTTTTTTTTTTTTGTAGCAAGCGCCTTCTCTTGAATGGTAAATTGTTCGGCCATTGTAAATCGTTATTCTTTAATTTGTTTATTGCACCCTTGTGCTCAAGTTTTCCGTGCCCTTGCACGCCACTAATGATTGGGCCCTTTTTTTCTTCCACGACCGGCTTAGTTGTAGGCCACCCTGGAACTACCGTTAGGTATTACTTCAGGGTGGCCCACGCCGTCTCTAAAACTCATACCACCACGTTGTGAATCAGCCCGAAATTAATCAAGAGCAGGCCCACAACGTGGTGTGGCCTCCCCCGTTAGCCGGATCCCAGAGTGGGATCCGTTGCCCAGATTAGTGATTGGGCCCTGGCCATCACTAAATATCTTCATTGCCATAGTCGCTTTTTCGCCGTCTTTTCTCATCTGCCATTACGTGCCTGGATTTACACTCTGACTCGTCATACTCAGATGTTCGACACCATTACCACAAGATCTCATACAGTCCACTCATTACTATCAACAACTTCATCTGTACAGCTGAGTTTTATATTATTTTTTAATGTTATTTATTGTTTGTTTTAATTGAGTTTAACTATTTTGTTTATGCCGCTTCATCGGCCATTAGTATTTAAGGACCCCCCGCTTTCCCCTTAAATTTAAGATACTCTCTAAAGAATTTCTAATATATGTGGTTCTTCGTTATTTAATTATCGTCTACTTTAATTATTGTCTATTCTCGTTACTTATTGGATTACAGTTAACTGTCATCACACAGGTGACTCATTCCCGCTTCAATAATAGCGATTTAAACAGGCTAAAGGTAAAACGACATTTTAGTGCGGTACACAACTGGTCGTCAAGTATTATGAAATTACAAAGTAAAATGATTTAATTTTGTAGTTGAAATCTATCATATCAAACTTGATTCGTCAATTAATACTTTGAAAACATTAGAAATGAATGATTTTAATTGTCTGAATAAGAAATTTCTTCTCGCAAGGGGGGACTACAGTGATGGGATCCTTGATATTTATTGAAATAATTGAATCAAAATGAGATTTAAATGAAAGGAGTTGAAAATTTACTCTAACTTAAAAGTATCAAGAAAAAAATTCAAAAAGTTCCTTGCCATACGTGGGTTGGAACCTTGTACCCAAAGCGCGTAAAACACAAGTTTTACCGACTCGATAACCATACGTCGCTTCCATCGACTGAACAAATTGGCTATATAAGCTAGTTCAATTTTCAATATTATTTTTCTTGACTTCAAAAAACAAAAACATTTAAATAAGTTTAGCTTTCTATGCTATATCAATTTTTATTTATATAATATTTATGAAAATCTGAACTCCCCTTGTCAGGTATTTTAAAATAAAATAAAATAAAATACAAAACCCAGAATTTTTACACAAAAATAGCAAATTTTTGAATACGGTAGTCATTTTTACCCTGAAGACAAATCCAGAGGTCAAATTTTTTTTTTTCAAATTAAAGTATATTACATAAGCTTTAATTTAAGATATATATAAAAGTGTCAGTATTTCCGGAATACTTTCAAAAATTAAATTGAAAATATCTTAGTAACAATACGCATGTTTAAAGTTTTGACCCCCNGTTAAATTGAAAATATCTTAGTAAAAATACGCATGTTTAAAGTTTTGACCCCCCTTGTTAGAGGGCGGTCAAAGGGGTATCATAAAGGGGTATGATCCGAAAATAGCATATTTTTGCATACGGTAGTCATTTTCACCATGAAGACAAGTCCAGAGGACAAAGTTATTTTTTTCAAATTAAATTATATTACAATAGCATTAATTTAAGATATATATAAAAGTGTCAGTCTTTCAGGAACATTTTCAAAAGTTAAGTTGAAAAAGTTAATTTTTTCTAAAAAAGTTACTTAACATACTTGTTTGTTTTCTTAGTGATCAAATTCAACCTATTCACTTGAAATCATAGAAGTAAATTATTCTTGTCTTTAGTTAATTTTCTATCTAGATGTCGTCTATCAAATTTACCCTATATAAAGTCCACTAAAAAACATACAAAATAATTTAAGTTGAAAAAATTAGTTTTTCTAAAAAATTACCATTTTGAAATCCTACCTATGATCTGGTAAAGGGTCAACTGTTCACAAAGATATATAAAATGATAGGTAAATATCTAAGGTGTCTATAAAAAAAAAAATTCATTCTGTCATTTTTAAAAGAGTTATGATAATTTTAAGTAAAAAAAATTGAAAAATTTTTGAAAATTAGCGATTTTTAAATTTGTAATTTTTTGGGAGATTTTCCCCGTTTACGAGGAACGAGGGATTTTTTTCAAATTTTGAGGGTAATATCTTCGACTAGATACGATTTGTGATCTTTTGATAAATTGTTCATCAAAATCGGCCCAGCAAACGCTGAGATTAAGCGTTCACAGACACAAAAAAAAAAAAAACACATCATAGTATTAATTGTAATGAATACCTTCTCAGCTTTGCATCGAAGATAAAAATCGCGCTTGTTGGAATTATTTAAGTATTGAAAATTAAATTGCGCTTATTGAAAACATTTGTTTATTGAAGTATAAAACGCGCTTATTGGAATCGTTTATTTATTGAAAATTATATTGTGCATAAATTCTATCTCAAGTAAAGTAAAGAATTGAAATTATTATTTGGAAGTGAAATGTTGAATGTAAAATTGAATTTATTATTGATTGAAAATCATATTGTGCTTACATTAAAAGTTGTTTAAATCTAAAAAACTAAAAAAAAACTAATTGTGCTTATTATATAAAAATTGAATTTATTATTGAAAATTGCGTGTCACTTAAAATATTTAAATTAACATTTTAAAATAAAAAAAAAAAAAATTTGCCCCGTTTAAAACTAGTTGAGCATAAATTTATTTGAATAATACAGAATTTGAGAATAAAATTGTAAAAGTGTATATTTAAAGTTATGTCAGAGGAAATAGAATTAATTGAAATACAAGGTATTCTAGACGAATACAAAAAAAAAACACAGCACAGGGGGGTCGCACCACAGTGGTGACGTGGCATAGTTGGATCAAGTATAATGATATCTGACAGTTATTAAAATCACTATAAAAAAAAACGATTCGATGCAAATCTTTAGATACTGTTTAATTTTAAAAAATTGGTTGATTATTCCAAAAGCTACATGATTCCTTATTAATATCCTGAATGAAAAAGGGATTATTAAAAAATATTATTTCTCATGAAAAAATTATGTTGATCCATACACTTTTTAAAAAGTTATAGAATTTTAAAGTAAAAAATGTAAAATGTAAAATTGAGAATTTTAACACAAAAATAGCATACGGTAGCCATTTTCACCGTGAAGAGAAAATAAAGTCCGAAATTTTTTTTTCCATAATAAAGTATATTACATTAGCTTTAATTTAAGATATATATAAAAATGTCAGTATTTCTAGAATACTTTCAAAAGTTAAGTTGAAAAAGTAAATTTTTTTTGAAAAAGTTGTCATTTTAAATCCTCCTGTGAGCAGATAAAGGATCACATTTATAAAACAAAAAATATACCAAATGATAGGTAAAGACATCATGCATCTATAAAAACAAAATTTATATTAATTTGGCCATTTTTAAAAATGTTATGGCAATTTAAGTAAAAAAAAATGAAATCATTTCAAAAATTTGCGATTTTTAAATTTGTAATTTTTTTGGTGGTTTCCCCCATTTACGGGGAACGAGGGAAATTTTTTCAAATTTTGAGGGTAATTTCTTTAACTAGATACGATTTATGATCTTGTGACGTATCATTGAAAGAAATCGGTTCGGTGAAAGCTGAGAAAAAGTGGTAACAGACACAAAAAAAAAAAACACCATAGTAAAATAATACCTTCTCAGCTTCGATGCGACTAAAATAAATTAAAGAATTTCAAAATTTTAAACAAAATCAAGAACAATTTTTTATCGAACATATTAATGTTATACCTATTAATAGGCAATTTCAAAATTATAATTATTCATCTAACAAGTTTTTACAAAGAAATTATCAATTTCAGAATAGTAATATCGATTCACGTTATAAAAATCAATTTCAAAATAGTAATAGATTTAATAATAACCTACAACGCTATAATAGTAATCAATTTCAAAATAATAATAGTTCTAAAAACAACTTTTCATCAAATTACGATCTCCACACATCTAGCATGTGATTAATTTCCTCCCTTTTTTCTCCTATTAAAACTATATCGTCATCAAACAACATGCACTATGGCTCCTTTCCTTGTATTTCTCTAGTAATTTCATCCATCACTATAGAGACTAAGTAAAGGCTTAAGGCAAAACCTTGATGCACTCCTACTCTTACCTGAAAATCTTTTGTTACTTCTTCTACGCTTTTTATACTGGTATAAGTGCCATCTTACATATCTTCTATTATATTAATGTACCTTTTCGAGACTCCTTTTTTCATTAATGCCCACTTTAAAACCTCTCTCGGTACTTTATCATACTTTTTCTCCAAATCTATAAATACCATACAAAGCTTTTTGTTGTCCTCGCGTACATCCGAGATGGGACAATGCACCTAAGTTTTGTTCAGGATTTCTCATACTTTTTTGACAAAGATTTTTACACCGGGTGTCAAATCTATTTTAAAATAAAATAAAATACAGTGGGTATTAATGAGACAATGAGTCCCGAAAAGACCAAAAAAAATATGTAATTGAATGCAATATTTGGACGGCTGACGTGAGCGTAAATGATGTGGGTGCCAAGTGGAAGTTTAGGATAAAGGTGACCGACCACAAGTAGCTGGGATTAAAGTGAGGAAAAAAATGAAGATATAAAATATTTATTACTTAATTAAATATATTCAAATTTATAAAAACTTTCCTAACATAGTTTAGAAAGTTAAACCAAACGTACTTTTTTGGTCTTCCTCTACCTCTTCATCCTTCAACATTCATTTCTATAACTGTTACAGCCTCCGATTCTTCTCGCCTCATAACATGACCAAACCATCTAAGATAAATAATTATTTTCAACATAAATATTAGAGTTTTGAAGAATGTGTTTCTTGTGAAAACAATTGCTTCACTTTTTTCTGGAGCAGATTCAAAATAACTGAAGTAACGTAGAGAGGGTTTGGGGTGTATTTTTAGTGTAAGAGGTTATAAGCTTTAAAGTTATTAAAAGTTACCTTTTAAACCCTTATAAAAATATTTAATATTTCAATAGACGAAGAAATAAAATGTCCAGATTGTTATGAAAACGAATATCTTATATATTATTTTAATGGATGTACTCATCGAGTTTGTGAAATTTGTGCCGATAAACTTATAATTAGAATGAATTATAATTGAGTAATTCTGTTTGAAGAACAACATTTAGTGACTTTCTAACATATTCCACATATTTTTTTTAAATAAATATTATAACTTATCATAAAACACATGTGTATCCATTTATTATTTATTAATTGTACATATAGAATTTAAATTTATATATTATTTAATAATCCAAAACTTTTTTTTATTCTTAATAATCAAAAAGGTAGATATTAGAAATTGAATGATATTAAAAGTAGAATAATAATTATATTAAAAAAGGAAAACGGAACGGTTGCTTAATATGATTTTTTGTATTTTAAAAAATATAGTGTTTTTAATCTTTTTTTGTTATGTTAAGTCAAATAGTTCACATAAAGTAAAGTATTTCTAATTCAAACAAATACTAAATTACTTATAAATCATATTTTTTAGGGTATAGCAGTTCCTTATAAATGTTTTTTAATTGATAAAAATTTGAAAACTCAATTCAAAAGAGCTAAATCTCCACTATATTACAACCCAGTTGATGCAAATTGGAAAAGAGCAAAATGCAGCAGTTTAGGGCTTACGTACAAAGAACCCATTTGGAAACATGAGTTAACTTCGTATATGATACCAGTTGAATCGTTCCATACTGAATTCGCTTTACCTATAGTATTGTCTGAATTAATATGCGGAGATCGAAATTTAAAGAATCATTTTGCGCGAAATATTGTAAAAGTAAGCTTCTCTCGGTATCTTAAAAACAAACTACAAACATAGTTATAATAATTTTTATGTTAAATTTTATAAAACCAGAACCTAACATCAAACGAAGATATTGAAAAACTTTTTGAAAATAAAGATTTGTTTGAAGAGTACATAGCAAATTCTATGATAATCAAACGTCCAGGTACGATTAAATTAAATTAATACATTATACAAATAAAAAATCGTATTTAAAGTGATTTATAAATTAATTTTGTATATATTAATTTGAAAAAAAACGTACTTTTACCGGATCTGTTTCGTACTCTGATATTTGCATAAGTTTTTTTAAATTTTCTTTGTCTTAATGAATATTATACGTCATATTTATTAAACTATTAAATGATTAAGCATATCCAAATAACAGTTTTCATTTTATTTTGTGATAACACTAATAAAGCACATTTTTTTTATATAGATATACCAGTTGATGTAAGTAAGTATCTTTGTTGAATTTAAATAAATAAATAATTTAAATAAAAGTTAAAAATGAACATTTAATAAAAGTCTTTTTTATAAAAATGTGTAATTTAGTTTGAGGTAATATACTACGCAATTTATTTAGCTAGTGAGATAATCAAATTTTTTACACAAATTACAATTTTATAATATGCACAAAAATTCGGCGACGACAGCATGGTTCCGCGGCTTATGAAAAAAAAAAGTATACGAAGGTTTTGAATACTTAAGAATGTAACATAATATTCGATAAATAATCGAACACTCCATTAGAGTTGTTCGTGAGGCTATTTGGCCATTTTATAGTATATTAATTACCCCCAACCTAGGGATATTGACAAAATTAAATATTACATGATTATTATTTTATAATAAGACACACGGTTAATAATGACTGAGTTGAGATGTATATAATTAATTAAGACAAGGTGTGCAGTAATATAAGTATTATGACAGATAAGTTATTTGTTTGTATACAAACCAATAATATAAAATACAGATTATAAATTTTTAACAATGAAATTTTTGGTCTAGCTTGAGTCCAAATTAAGTCACACAATCAAAGTAGGATAAATCAATCTTCTTCTTCCTCGTCTTAATCCCAACAATTTGGGGTCGATCACCCTTATCCTAAACTTCCACTTGACACCCTCTCCCACATCAGCTGTCCTCATAATGCATTGTTGTATCTTAATACGAAACAACATTTTTGGATCTAACTTATAGTAATAAAAGTTCAATAATAACGCAAATGTAATTATTAAAGGTATAATCAAGCAATGTAAAATATACAAATTAAAGATACACTTAAAACACAATAAAACAATACACAAAATAAAAACTTAATGTCGTAAACGTACCACGCAAAAAAAGATTACTTTCAGTACTCTCAAAGGCTTCTATTCCTTTTCAATTCATTCCATTTCGTCTTATATACTAAAATATTTTCTCTTTCTTTTTTTTACGAATATCATAATACAATAATTTTCAAAAATGTTTATAAACATTTACTTCCTGGTCAAGTAACAATAATTCAGAGAATTACAATTATACAAACATTACAAAAATGTTTTAATTTCAGTGTTACAAAATAATGACCTATATTACAGCAATAAATAGCATCCCTCCATCTCTTTTTTGGTCTTCCTCTATCTCTTCTTTTTTCAACATTCATTTCTATAACTATTCTTACAGCTTCCGTCCGATTCTTCTCTCCTCATAATATGACCAAACCATCTAGGATAAATTAATATTTTCAACATAAATATTAGAGTATTGAAAAATGTGTTTCTTGTGAAAACAATTGCTTCACTTTTTTCTGGAACAGATTCACAAAATAAGATAACTGAAGTAACGTAGAGAGAGTTTGAGGTGTATTTTTAATGTAAGAGGTTATAAACTTTAAAGTTATTAAAAGTTACCTTTTAAACCCTTATAACAATATTAACTCAATATTTAATATTTCAATAGACGAAGAAATAAAATGTCCAGTTTGCTATGAAAAAAAATATCGTACTTATTATTTTAATGGATGTACTCATCGAGTGTGTGAAATTTGTGCCGATAAACTTATAATTAAAATGAATTATAATTGTCCATTTTGTAGAAGATTTTATCCAGAATCCAATGAAAATAATGGTATACAGAATATTTATTTTCTATTTTTATTTACATTCTTTAGACATAAACATTTTTTTAACATAATTTTAATTTTATCTATTATTCTTTACAGAAGTTGTAATAAGTATATGGGATACTGTAGAAATTCTTGCTGCTGCATATTACTTAAATGTTTGTATTTATGTCTATGAATTTCCAGAAAATATTTGGATATTATATCGGAACATATCGACTAGATTTGATTCAAAAAATGAAAAGTGTATCTATTTATATAAAACTGAAATTCATTGGGGTGTCGTCACTAATCTTACTTCACCTTAAATTTTGATGGAATAATGTAAAAGTTACAACTAAATAGTATATGCGAACTTATTTTCGTACTTGTATAACGTATCATATTATACATATATGACACTATCAGTTTTTAATCATGTAACTTATTGTTTTCAATGCCATAGCTGTCATATATTTATTTTTAACGCAAACCTTGAAGCAAAATTTTTTTTAATTTTTATAAATGTAATTGTTACGTTTGAACGTAACAAAAATTTTGTTACTTATTAATAAATATATTGGTCTACAAGGAACTTCCATCGAAATCAAAAATATACTTTTCTAAATCAATTTTCGCACTCAAATCTGAAATTAGACTTTTTCTATCATTTTTAAGTTTTGGTATTATTACTAATTAATTAAGAACTATAGAATACGGAATATACTTCTCAATATTTCAATCACAGCATCTATTTAAACACCAAGAGTTACATAGAAATGAATAGTATTTCTATTGAAATAATTTATTATGATATAAATACAAATAATATAATAATTGATTTTAACTAAATTTTAGGCTTTTTTCATCAATATAATGTTAGTAGTAATTAAATAAATTCTAAATAATATGTCAATCTAAATAAAACAGTTTGTCAATCTTCATAAAATTTTCTATTTTAATACGAAGATTAGTAGGTATTTAACCATGATGTGTTAATTTATTTTTTTTTTGTCTATCACTAATTTTCTTAGCTCTCACTAGACCAATTTTTCTCAACGATACGTCAAAAAATATCAAATCGTATCTAGTTGAAGATATTACTCCCAAAAAATGACAATTTTCGCAATTGGTAAATATCGACAAATTTTTTATAAAAATATCCATAACTTATTTCAGCTTCATTGGAATTCTTTTATCGCATAACACCAGATGCTTCTCTCCACTTCAACCACCCACATCAAATCTGTGTTATAAATCCTCGTCAATACCACCGTTCTTTTGCACAACTTACCCTACATACTTAAAATATTCCTCCTATCTTATCACGTCCTCGCCTATTATTATTAAACTTCTGATTTCACCTACCTCGTGTTTTCCTTTTTCAAACTCGTATTATGTATACTCTATCTTACTCCTACTTATTCTTAATCCGTTTCCTTCAAAACCTTTAGCCTTTGATTAATTTTCTCCTATTAACACTATATCGTCATCGAATAACATGCACCAAGACACCTCTCCTTGTATTTCTCTAGGAATTTCATCCATCACTATAAAAAATAAGTAAGGGCTTAAAGCAGAACCTTGGTTCATTCCTACTCCTACTCCTAATAAAACCTTAAATTGCCAATTTTATCGAGCCACGAATGTAACGAACGCTTGCCGAATCGTTAACACTAGTGTATTTAAATTAGGCTTTTCTTAACCCTTCATTAGGTAGGTTGGGTCTATCAGACCTAAATCTTTTCTTTTTTTGTTTCGTAATTGTTAAAATATATTTCTAAGTATGTCTATGTAATTGTTATTCACATTTGAAGAAATAAAATTTTACCATACAAAAGTAAAATCAATTTAATTATATGGGTCTATCAGATCCATGGTATCTATTAACATAACATTTTTTCACCTACCTAATGAATGGTATACAAATTAGTAATATTAATTTTGATTCCTATATGATCAAATTAAGTTTTTTATTTTATGTTCTTAATATTGAGTTATTATTAATTACAATAAACACTAATTTCGTAATTTCATTTTCCTATTATAGATTAATGTTAAGATTTACCCTAGTTATTAACGTAGATTTTATCCAAATTCTATATCTGTACTAGGGATATTTAAACATTTTTTCTGAGTATAGCCGAATAAAAGTGTTGGCTAATATTATGAAGTATAAAAATTAATATTTATGAAATATTGTATATTTTTTTTTTTTTTGAAAGTCTAATTCTGATGAAAGTTCCTTGTAGTCCAATTTATTTATTCATAAGTAACAAACATTTTCTTTTTTTTTTTTAAAGTATTGCATCAAGTTCTTTAAATTTTTATACACGTTAAAAGTAAAAAAATGTATTCAAAATAAAATAAAAATAAATATATATTAAATATATGTTATATAAATATTTATTTATATATTATACTTTTAAATCAAAGAACCATTAATCAGGATGTATTTAAGGAAACAGTAGTTGATGTTTTTATAATTATCCACCAATTTCTTAAAATTAAACATTATCTACAAATTTGCATCGAAGCGTTTCTTATTATAGTGATTTTAATCACTGTTAGATATCGTCTATACTTGTTCCAACTATGCTACGTCCATACTGTGCCGCGACACCACTAAGCTACCGTTTTGTTATATTTATATTTGTCTACACTTCTAAGATAAAAGGATTTTTTCCAATATTTGATGACTATTAGTTCAACTACATTAAAATCGGTTAATTTGAACTAATGAGCATCAAAATTGGTTCAGTGAGAGCTGAGAATTTTTATGAACAGACATAAAAAAAACGAATAGTATCACAAGATCAATAACTTTTTAGTTTTTCATCGGAACTAAAAAATAAAATCAAAAAGTTGTCAAAAAAATCACTCAATATAGTATCTTATAAAAATTGATTATAATTGTAAAAATCATAATAAATAAATAAATTATAATTGTTAAATTTATGTGCAGGCCAAAATCATTATTTTTAAATAATTTATACAGTAACCTGTTACCAAAATATTTGAATATTATTAACTGGTAAAAATACACACAAATAGAGTTAAAAAATGAATAAATAACAAGGAAAGATTATTCAACTTTGTAGTTGAAACTGTCATATAAAAATCTAAATTGTCAATTTATATATTAAGAGGTGACGACTCCACAACTTCTTTCAGAGTACTGATAAAATTATATATTTGTATTGGAATAAAATAAAAGAATACATCTAATTAATTAGATTAATAGTTTTTGTTAGCTGATGCTTGATGTTGGTGACATTTTTGAAAGTATGACCTATTTCTTCTAGTGCTGAGACAATATCCGTTACTGGGGAGGATGGATGTAAATTTCTAATAACAACTGTTAGAAATTTGTCGGATTGTAGATGATAGGTGTGGAATTGAGCGTCAAAATCTTTTAGAAAATTAATTAGCTTCCTGTAACTATCCGAAGTATCTGTTTTGATTTGTTGATTTGTTGTTGATTTACAAGAAAAAGTGTCTGGGTTAATGATCAATATAAAACTTTTTCGTAAGTCTATGAAGTCAAGAACGCCTTTAATGAAGATTGGTTGAGATAGTATGTTATAAAACTGGTATATTGCTCCCGATTAGGATCAACAAATACGTTATCGTCAATGTTAGGTTCTACAGTAGAAAGAATACAATACTTGTTTGAAGTAACAAATAACTTTGTTTTCTTAATTTTGATAGTAGATGGTGATTTCGGTGAGGAGGATGAGAACAATTGTTGTCATTAGTTGGGTTTTTATTTTTTTTTTTGTTAACTGTCTGATTTCGTACAATTTTAATTGGCAATATAGGACCAAATATTACTTTGTAAAATTTATATTTTTTGTAATATTACTATGTAAATTAGGTCTTAAAAAACACTTGTTAAAGTGTGGAGCACAATACTCGTCGATTGGTGTGAAGTGTAGATTTTTCCCATTTGGAGAACAAAGATAGTATTAAACATAACTTGAGATCGGAGTAAAATATATACACACTATCGGACTTTTCGTGTGGAACTAAGTAATATACTTAAATATGAAAAAAAATTTTAATTAATAAAGTTAATAAAAATAAACATGGTGAAAATAGCTACAGTATTCAATAAATATGCTATATTTATGTTAAAATTCTCGATTTTATACTTTATATTTATAATTTTATAATTCTATAATACGAGGTTATTGATCAGTGGTGTATCATAAATATTTAATATATGTATATATTACTCGTGCAGTGCCCAAGTACGGTCCGGCCGACCAGATAATGAAAATTATCTGTCGTGCCCGGATTTGTTCCGATGCACAAGATACTTCACGTGTACTGTTTAAAAGTTATACGTTTACATTTTTCTCTTGTCCTAATAATTTTTTTTTCTCTTATCCCTTAATTTTCATAGTAGTTTTTGCCTTCGGGTTTTATTCACTATTTAATAAAATCTACATAATTATCTAAATAAACAGAAATTTTTTTATTGCGTGAATAATCACATGTATTTTATATTTTTAATTTTTAATAATTTAATAAGTTTTAAGGTAACGGTCTATGACATACTAATGTGTGACATCAAACAAAATATATTTTGCATTATTTTCAAGGTATTATAGTTTACAACAAATCTTTATATTTTACTATATATACACATATTTTTTTTATGCTATGATAAGATTTATTTTATCTTATTGGCTATTATTTAATTTAAAATTTCAGTTATTATCTGGATATTTGTTTTTTTAACACGCTTATATTAGTTTCACATGTATGTTGTTTGTTATGTGTTAGCTTTGATGTGAAGCTGAGAAGGTATTAATTTTACCATAATATTTTTATTTTATATTATTTATTTTTTTTTTTTTGTCTGTCACTAATTTTTCTCAGCTCTCACTGGACCGATTTCTTTCAACAATACGTCAAAAGATCACAAATCGTATCTAGTTCAAGACTTAAAAATTGAACAATTTTCTCTCGTTCCCCGCAAATGGGGGAAATCTCCAAAAAAATTACAAATTTAAAAATCGATAAATTTTGTCATTTTTTTCACTTTCTTTTCTTAAAACTTCCATAACTTTTTCAAAAATCAAAAAATAAACATGATTTTTTTTATATTAAAACCTTAGATATTTACCTTTCATTTGATATCATTTATTTGAAAATCTAACACTTAACCTGTTCACAGGGGGGGATTTAAAATAGTAACTTTTTTACAAAAACTAATTTTTTCAACTTAAATTATTTTGTATGTTTTTTAGTGGACTTTATATAGGGTAAATTTGATAGACGACATCTAGATAGAAAATTAACTAAAGACAAGAATAATTTACTTCTATGATTTCAAGTGAATAAGTTGAATTTGATCACTAAGAAAACAAACAAGTATGAATTTAAATGATTTCCAAACTAAAAGTTCAATTATATTAAATTAGACTAATACAATTAGTAAGAACTTACAATCTTATAAATGAGTTGAACAGCAACATGCATAAAGTTAAATTTATAATGAATTAAATATGCTTACAATTATAACTTAAATACATACTATGCTTAGATTTGTGCTATTTACAACTAAATTTTAAATATATTTGTTTCAAAAATAATGACTTCTACAAATCAAGTAATTAATACTTATTTGATGTCTAAAAGTGCAAAATATTTCTTAAGCTACATGGTAAGGGACTATGAGGAACAATTTATCGATAAAGTTTATCATGTAAGGAACAATGAATGATATTGACATCTAATATTCAATTTTGTGAGGTTTAGTGTGATTTTTAAATTAAGAAACCAGTCAGTTTCTGGAAAGACTAGAGAAATGTAAGTTTATGTGACTACAAGTGTGAATGTAGGCAAAAAAAAAAATGAATATTAGCGACTGAAAAACAATGAATTTTAATAATGATATTTAATTTTGCTTAACATTTTGTAAATTATNGTGTAGGCAAAAAAAAAAAATGAATATTAGCGACTGAAAAACAATGAATTTTAATAATGATATTTAATTTTGCTTAACATTTTGTAAATTATTAGAACAATTATGAGATTCAACTGGATAAAGTTTTACCACCCACTACAAAGGAGTATTAGAACTCTAGTGATTAATTTCAATAAAAATTGTATAATTCTGACTTTGGCTATTAATTGTACTACTAAACAATATTTGTTCAATATGACAACAACAAAATTTGTAATAATTAACGTATATTACCAATAGACCAGTATTTTTCTAAGAAATTTTAAATCAACCACAAGGTTTCTAAAACTTGATTTAAGAATTAAAGGAAAAATTTGTTGTAAGCAAAGCTTCCTACAAATTACAATAATTATAAGTATTACCGTTACAAATTTGTCAACAATATAGCAAAAAGATATTAGAACAAGAATATTTAATACAATTTTAGTTAAACGAATGGCGACTAGGCACAAAATAGAGAAAACAAATACTCCGACTAGTGGACAGCTAGGCGATCCAAAGAGAAGAGAGCGATGATTTTCAAGCGCATAACCGCTACCCCAACAGATTAACTTGACCAGTAATAAGAGAAACGACACGTGACCTTCAGTGTGACCACGAATTAAAGATAGACTTTGCTAGGCGCAAACAAGTATATTTATGAATGTGTTAAAGCTATCATGGATTGTCTTGTTGCTTGAAGTGCTTGAGGATATATCCATGTTTACAGTTGAGTTCGACGTTTCGGACTCATTGCAGAGTCCATATACAAAAGTATATTTATATTATTCAGACATGGGGTTTTTAAAATCAATTAATTAATTTTTATTGTTCTTACAAGAGTTATAATTAGTACGTGGGATACTTTAGAAATTCTTGCTGCTGATAAATAAAATATTAGAGATTATCAAAGACATTAAAAAATCACTTTATTTTAAAAACATTTTCCTCAAAAATTAAAAATTTGCCTTAAAACTATTTTATTCTAAAAAATTTTTATTAATATATATTCAGAGTGTACACTGAAAGAATCTCTTTAGTATGATCTTGTATAACTATTGCATGTTATCTTTTATTGAAAATAAATTTTACTAAATGTTATCAAAAATTATCGAATTTTATAAATGTATGCTAATTAAAAAAAGTTCGTGAAAATTTAATATTATTTTTAAATATAATTTATATATTTCAATATATAAATAATTTAGATAATTTAAATGAAATAAGCAATCATTCTTTTAACTGACAGTTAACGTATTAAGTATCAATATGTCATTGTTTGTAATGTTTGACACAAATTTATTTAATCAAGATGACGATTAATGAAACCATTTAACATAATGTAGTATATTATTATATATAATGAATATATTATTCATATATCAGCCAAAACAAAACAAAAGTCACTGGTTAAGTTAAAGTAATTCAAAATTTTAATTATGCTTATATTTTTAGTATTCTCTATAATTATAAAATATAAAAATATTT